AAGCTAAATCGGTTCCAGATTTTCTCTGTCATAAGCCTGAGTGGCCTAGGGCAGACCTGTCTCTTCCTGGTGCCCACCTTTATCAGCACAGTGAAGGCCAAGTTGGCCTCTGTGGTTTTGAACCCTTTTTTATTTTTCTTTTCAACAGCAGAAGCTTTGTTTTAACTAAATCTTATCACAATGTATGAAATAAGATAAAACAGAGCTGCCCCAGTGGCAGGGAGGCTGCAATCAGGCCTGAGGTTGCCTCTGGCCTCCCCCACAGCGGCACCTCACCTCTGCCAGACACCGCAGAACAGTGTGGTGACTGCATACTGTCTCCCCACAGCCCTGACATTCTATGGTTTGCATGGGAGGAAAAGAACAGCAGCCAGAAGGAGAGCTAGCCACGGTCTGCTGCGCAGCAGCCCCTCACGCACAGGTTGACCTGCCAGCTGCGGGTGCAGCCATCACTTTCTGGGTGCTTTCTGTGCAGGTTTGCCTGCTCATGGCAGTCAACCAGGGAGTGCATCATGATTTCCCTGTCACAGGGTAAACCCTGACCAGGAAAAGGAGGTGAACTCTGCCCACAACGTCACTCGACTGGGAGGTGAAGGCGCCAGATGCTACCTGTGGGACCCGAAGGATGGTTTCCATCCCTGGTGTCCCTGGCATGCTTCACTTTGCAAAATCCCTTTGGTCAGACTTGATTCCTCTAATCAGGACTCCTTTATCACCATGCAGGAGGCAGAACCATCTGAGCCCCGAGGTGCAGAGGTGACAAAAAAGCCCAAGGTTGCTGTTCCTTCTGCCAACAAGAGGCCCAAGAAGGAGACCAAGAAGAAGCGGTAGAAGTGGAGGAGCCAGGCGGGCCTTGGGGAGCCTACCCGGGAGTCAACATCTGTTTCCATTCTGCATCCCAGGATCAGGTCTGAGGTGGCTGTCATGCCCTCTGACCACAGAGAGATGGACAGTCATGGCAACCCCAAGCTCCAGCTACTTCCTCTTCCTGCTGCCTCAGTGGTGGTTTAGAGTTAGGGTACTGAAAGGCCTGGGAGCACACCCTGTGCTGAGAGGGTTTCTCAGGAGCCAGGTGAGCCCACAGTTACGTCTTCATATGTGATCAACAGATCCAGACAGTTTCCCCCGCTGTGGATTCACATTGGGTTTGGAGTCGTCGTCTCAAGCAGACAGGCACACCCTCTGCCATTGCTGTGAACTGCAGGTCTTCCCGGCTCACTCAGCATCTTTGTTTCTGCTGTGTGAGTGGAGCCAGGCCTCACCTGTGAGCTTAGGTCAGGACACCATGGCCATGCAATGATAGTCTCTCATTGGCTGCAACAACCAGGTCCCAAAATGCCTGGTGCAAGAGTCCCAGAAGGCCTGAGCCAGAGGAACACCTGAGTTCTCCTTTAGCATGTGGAAGGGAATTGACTAAATGAGTTTATATTTCTTGAGCATAAACATTCTGAGCTCCTGAAGTAGCAGGCTTGTCAATGTCAGACCAACCTGTTTTCAACCCTTCCGGACACATTCAAGGTGTGCCTTTGACTTCTACCGTACCTCCCCCTCCCTGTCAGTTCTTTCATCCCCTGACCATTAAGGAAACATTATTTGGGGAAGTAAAGGTCAATAAATGGTTCCATATGCTGAACCTGCCTGTGTGTTGTCTGTTGTTGAGGGAAAGGGAACACATGGGTCCCTGTTTTGGGAGTGAGGGAATGAGTGGACCCCCAGAGGAATGGGACAGTGTGGGGTGAAGATGGCTGGACAGTGGGTAGCTCTCATCAGTGTGGCTCTGCAGGCCTAGACATTCTGGAACAAGTTTTCAGGAAGGGTCCCGCCAACAGCTTCGTGTGGCCCTTAGTCATTGGAAACACTTGTGAATGTCTCTGGGTGTGAGTTTCCACTCATTCCCTACATGCCTTTGCCTGAGGAAGACACTGCTTGTCCTCTAAGCCTTAAGCAAGATCAAGTGCAGTACACTCAATGGCTTTGGGCCGGTCTAATCTCTGGTAAATAAAACAGCAGGCTCTTTATCATGTGCCAAATGCTTTCCCAAATGTTGTCAAGACTATGGGGAACTCAGAGGACAAGCGTCTGTCATCTTTGTAGAGACAGGAGCCTGAAGTCTGGGCTACCTGAGAATGCCAAAGCTTGGGCTATGAC